AGTTCCTCCACCAAGGTAACTGCATCATGACCTTCTATGGCCAGCTCACTTTTTCCATCTTAAAGTCTGTACAAGTTTGAAGATTATTTTCAAGCATGGAATGCAACAGAAGTACAGGTTCAAGAGTCACATTTTCACACTCGACCTGCAGTCAGCTGAGGTATTCAGCTTATCAAACAGCAAGGTGTATTAAATCATCCTGAACTCCATTGCCTAAGCTGACAAGATCTCGTTCCACTAACTGCAATTTAGACATCCAGCATCCACACAGACTCCTACATATCAGTAACTTGATTTAAAACTGAATCCTGCCTCAAAAAGTTGCCCCTTTTCCTATAAGGTTGCATTAAAGCCCTAACCCTTCTAATCCTTGCCTGTAGCACATCCCAGTTTCAACAGGATTGTAGGCAGCATTACCAAAGCATACTCAAGCATCACCTAAAATACCTCAGATTAATTTCCATATTACAGCAATTCAGACTTCTCAGAGGAATCTGTAGAAGGGAACCAACCTGAAAAATTCATAACAAGATTGTATACAATCAGATTTTCATAAGATTGGACCTGCAATCTATAGAAGAATTTCCACATAGTCTTACTTGGTAAGACAAAAACATCTGTCACCATATCAAGACAGTAATTCAGGTGGTTTTTTAGTGTGTACAGGAATCTGAAAAGAACACAAATGAAGAAAATAATTCAAGCACACAACCAGCTGTCCTGGTTTTGTCTGGGATAGAGTTAATTTTCTTCCTAGTAGCTGGTACAGTGCTGTGGTTTGGATTTAGTACTGGAAGAATGTTGATAACTCACTGATGTATTAGTTGTGGCTAAGCAGTGTTTATACTAAGTCGAGGACTTTTCAGCTTCCCATACGCTGCCATTGAGGAGGTGCACAAGAAGCTGGGAGGGAGCATAGCCAGGACAGCTGACCTAAACTGGCCAGAAGGATATTCCGTACCCTATAACATCATGCTCAGTATATAAGCTGAGGGCAGTTGGCTGGGGGACAGCAATCACTGCTTGGGGACAGGCTGGATGTCAGTTGGCAGGTGGGGAACAGTTGCATCACTTGTTTTTCTTAGGTTTTGTTCCTCTTGTTTTCATTACAGTTTGTCATTACGATTTTATTTCATTTCAATTATTAAACTATTTTCTTAACCCATGAGTTTTCTTACTTTTGCTGTCGAGATTCTCTCCCCCATCCTACCAGTGGGGCAGGGAGGGCAAGTGAGCAGCTGCATGGTGCTTGGCTGCCAACATGGGGGGGGCTAAACCACACCACCAGCCTCAAGCAGAAACCGAACATAACTCCTGGGACTAACTATCCTGACAAATTATTTCATAAAGCAGACAAAATTCATGCTGTTATTCTATCACCTTCCATCAAGGTCCAGGCATAAAAAATATTTAGGCCAACTAGCTCTAGTATAAGATTAGGCCTGTTAACATTGCCAAGATTTGAGCAAAGTCTCAGATAAAGTATATAAATGCACAGTACCACAGAAGCAACCAAGAGCTATTGGGTAGGAGGCAAGTTAAGCACATCAGACACTCAACTGTTTCACACTATGCAGAAGACCAGAAACGCGTAAGTTCCTTTTTCCCCCCCAGAGTGAGCAAAAATGCCCAGAAAAGTTAATACCTAGTTTTGAATCTGAGGTCTACCAGACTTTTCCAATAGAAACCCAGCTGCTCTGAACTTGAGTTGAATAGCTTTCTGCCACAGTTAACCTGTCACCTTCCAGGGCTGTCAGAGGTAATGAGGCTGAATTTGCACAAGACCTAGCTATAAGCCTGTGAAAATATATCTGACAGCACAGGTAATGTGAGCAGACATTACAATGCCAGGCTGATCAGATCAGAGCTAGGACTGCCTGACCCATGTTGAGGCCATTATGATTTATTCAAGGAGTCAGACTTAGAGAGAAGTTTTAAAGA